TAATAGAAGGATATTTACTATTACATTAATTGCACGATGGAATATGAAGAAATGTAGTTTCCTAACACCCTATAGCCTCTCGAAGATAAGTACAGACGTCTCCATACCGATCTGCAAGACTCTATTAGGCCTGGTCATAACTTGTGACACCTACGTGAACCTAGTGCTCTAATACCATGTTGTCACGACCCAATTTCACCTATAGGTCGTGATGGTGCCCAATACTACAGCTAGGCAAGCCAACTAATAAATTAAACGTATATTGATTAAACTTTTAATCCAAGAAAATAATAAAATACCAAATTCTACCAATGTGTGTACCAAGACCTGGTGTCACAAGTGTATGAGCATCTAGTAGATTATACAAAATTTCAAATACTGTCTGAAATAAAAATAGACAGAATGAAAAACAATACAAGGAGAGACACTGGTAGCTTTAGAACGACTCAGAAAGGTAGCTCACAACTATGCCCCTGGATAATATGGGTGTAAGACGGTAGGTCCCCCACTAGTACTTGCCTCGGGTCCTGCGCAAACAGTGCAACAAGTGTAGTATGAGTACGTAAACAACGTATACCCAGTAAGTATCAAGCCTAATCTCGAAGTAGTAGAGATGAGATGGCCGAAATTTGACACTCACTACGGGTCAATAATAATAATTGAAATAAAACTAGAATATATAACTCAGCATGATTCACAGAATATAACAATAATTTATTTAACGAGCAGAAATAATTAAATTCCTTCAAATGCAACAATTCTCAATATATTAACTAAATTCCTTCAATTTCAATAAATTTTCAGTTTATCAATTAATCTCATTTACATGAATAACAATTTAGCTAATAGGGATAATAATCCTTAAATTTCAATGATTTCCAAATTTATCAATTAGCTTCACAAGCTACAATAAACTATCAAAGTATTGTATAATTATTATTATTAAGCACGATTTCTGCCGAGGGACGTGCGGCACGATCCATAGATGCATCTATCCTGCCGAGGCGTTCGGCCCGATCCACAAGAAAGGAGGACATTTTCTTATGTACCTCCGGAATAAGAGTATTTATTGTAAAATTTATTCGAGAGGATAACAATTTATTTCAACAATTAATTAATCTAAACAAAAATTAAGCATATGAAAATTTCATATTTTTCTACCTTTCATAACAATTCACAATATATACATCAAATATTTTAATTTATAAAGAATACTATTTACACAAGTAATTCATGCTTTGAGTCCTTAATTACCCAGACTTTAGCATTAATAGTAGCTACATACGGACTCTCATCACCTCGTGCGTACGTAGCCCCCGCAATTAGCAATAATTATTTAATTTAATCACCTATGGGGTAAATTTTTCCCTCACAAGATTAGACAAGAGACTTACCTCAATTTTCTCCAATTTAATCCACTAGAAGACCCTTTCCACGATTATCCAACTTTGATTGACTCGAATCTAACCATAAATAATTCGATACAATCACTAAAATTTATAGGAATCAATTCTATAAGAAATACTACATTTTTAATAAAAATCATGAAATTAATTAAAAATTCGTCTGTGGGGCCCACATCTCGAAATTCGGTGACAGTTATGAAATCTGACAACCCATTAAATTACGAGTCCAACCATACCAGTTTTACTCAAATCCGATTCTGAATCGATACCGAAATCTCAAAATTTAATTTCTATGAGATTTCTAAAATTTTCCAAATTTCAGTCTCAAAACACTAATTAAATGGTGAAAACAATGATATATTTGTGTATATAGACCAAATCCGAGTTGGAATCACTTACCCCAAATGTCTTTCCTTGAAAATCTGTCAAAAGTTGCCTCTCCTCAAGCTCAAGATTGTCAAAAATGGCAAATGGGTCGAATGCCTCTGTTTTTATAACTTACAGATCTGTCCACTCCGATCAGGGAGCTCTATCAGGGAGCTCGATTAGGGAGCTCGATTTTGGGAGTTCGATCATGGGAGCTCGATCTTGGGAGCTCGATCAGGGAGTTCGATTTTGGGCCTCGATCTTGGGCTCGATCACAGCCCAAAATTTCCAGCAAAAGAGAAATATTGTAGTAGCTGTTTAAATCTAATTTTTGATCCGTTAACCATCCGAAACTCACCCGAGGCCCTCGGGACCTCAACCAAATATACCAACAAGTCCTAAAACATCATACGAACTTAGTCGAACCTCTAAATCACATCAAACAACGCTAAAACCACGAATCATACCCCAATTCAAGCTTAATGAAACTAAGAATTTTCAACTTCTACATTTGATGCCGGAACCTATCAAATCAAGTCCGATTGACCTCAAATTTTGCACACAAGTCATAAATAACATAACGGAGCTGTGAAAATTTTCATAACTGGATTCCGACCCCGATATCGAAAAGTCAACTCCCCGGTCAAACTTTCAAACTTTAAATTCCTATTTTAGTCATTTCAAGTCTAATTTCACTACGGACTTCCAAATAAAATTTTGATCACGTTCCTAAGTCCAAAATCATCATACAGAGCTGTTGGAATCATCAAAATTCTATTTCAGGGTCATTTGCACATAATTCGACATCCGGTCACTATTTGAACTTAAATTTTAATTTTTCATTAAAATTCCATATCTCGGGCTAGCAACTTCGGAATTTGATTTTGGACATACGCCCAAATCTTAAATCACGAACGGACCTACCAGAACAGTCAAAATACTGGTCCGAGTCCGGTTGCTCAAAATGTTGACCAAAGTCAACTCAGTTGAGTTTTAAAGCTCTAATTCATATTTTAATCCATTTTTCGTCTTAAAGCCCGCAAGATATTGGCAGATCATTTCTCGAATGGTAGAAAGAAGAACAAGAGGCCTGACTGGTGTCTCCAGTATTTATGGGATGATTTGTTAAGGCAATGGCAGACCGAGGACTTCTTAAAGAGGAGCAAACTAGGAAAGAAAGCTCGCTCATCCGAGAAGGGAAGATCCTTGCACACTGGGGGTGCTATCAGCATCGGGATAATAAGAAGAAGATTGGTAATTGCTTAATTATTATGCTTTTACTTTTCTAAGTATATCAATTCTATTTATTAACCAAATTAATTTGTTTTCAGGAAAATAAGTATGGGCGTCCAATGCACCAAGAAGAGCTATTCAAAGAGACACATATTTTAAAGAAGAAGAAAGAGGAGGATGCAGATAGGTAGGTTGAAGACCGGACATAGACTACATATGTAAGCTTTTAATTTTTCTTAAGTGTTATAATTTACTTTTATAATATTTTTATATACTAATTTTATTTAAAATAACGTAGGGTCGCTACCAAAGTACCTTGGAGGACTTCATTCGTAGTCAGCAGCCTATCCTAGATCTTCCCATTTCCAAGAAGATCCCGGGCTCGATCTGGTTTAGTATCAAGGCCAGCTGGTGAATCGGGTGAGCCAACCCAACCTTCGGACGGGGATACTGAAAGAATATGGTTGGAGGTTGTTAGCAGTCCAAAAAAGGGAAAAGTGTATGGGCTTCCTGAGAAAAGTTTTCATCACTACAGGTGTGAAATGCAAGGAATAGGGACTTCCTCACAGGGCGAAGCACTTAATATGGAGAGCCTCTCAGCAATGCAGGAGACAGTGACAAGGCTTACATCCGAGCCAATAGTGGCCAAGTAAAGGGAAAGGCTTAGAGATGCTCAATTCCTTGGTATGCAAGCTCAAATCAGAACGCTCCTTTCTAGTGGAGCTTTTTTGTTGCCCCGGTCTCGTGAGTCATCGCTAGAGGCTCGATCTCCACGTGATCATTCCTCCCGTCCTCACCGTGATCGTTCTGCCCGTCCTCCACGTAATCGTTCTTCCCGTCCTCCACAAGACCGTTCTTACCGTCTTATAAATATAAGTTCATTAGATAGTGGTGATGTTGTACAAAACACCCCTTGACCAATACTTTGATATACTTTGAACTAGACTAATAGAACTAGTTTGAATTAGAATGAACAATTTAGAACTTGGTGTAATTACTTAATTTTTGATTGGTTTTGGATTTTGATGTTTGATTGAATTGTTAGTTTTAAAGTATTAATTGGACGTTTGGTTGGATATGGGTGTGGTTGAATTTGTGGTGAATTAGGGGTTGTTTGTGGTGAATTATGGGTTGTTTGATGTGAATTGGGGGTTATTGATATGTTGAAATATATGTTTTTATTTGGTAGGTGGTGTAGATACCAAAACATGTACTTTCTGCGAAAATTATTCCCAGAAAACCAACTGACCTCGGTCGGTAACTAAAAAATAAAATTGCAAAATACCAACCAATGTTGGTTGGTTAATGCACATTAAATCCTAGAAATTCAACTTTAGCGACCAACTGTGGTCAGTAAGTTGGTGGTCATGTCCAGATTACCGACCAACGTTGGTCGGTAATTAAAATATTATTTGATTAAATTTTGTAACCAAAATAATTAAATTTAGTACACCGACCAATGTTGGTCGGTAATATTAAATTATTAAAATAATATTCCGACCAATATTGGTCGGTTAGTCAATTAAATTGTCAGATGGTCGTTTATAGTTGTCGGCCGAAGTTGGTCGGTAAATTCCGACCGACTTTGGTTGGTATGCTCTACCGACCATTACCGACCACACCTAATTGATCGGGTTTTGAACGGTTATTGGCCATTACCGACCGAAATTGGTCGGTTTATTCGGACGGTTTAAGCGGATTTTTAGTAGTGAAACTAGGATGTTCTCACGAATTAATGTTCTGTTCCTTTTTTTCTTTACAATTTAATATCAGAACATGTTGCTCTATAAGATCAATGTAGCACTCCAGGCTAAATATAGGCTCAGAATTTGTTGTGCTGCAGTACCTTTTTGCTGCATTATTGTTTTTCGACCTTATAAATATGCTCACCAATACACCAAATAGGGTGTGGTGGGGGATAAGGGGATTTATAGCGCTCCGTTTTTCCTATTTGTGGCTTTCATGTCCTCAGCAAAAATGAACAAAGAGCAGAGATACATAAAAATTACAGCACATATATACTAGAATGTTGGCAGCTCCATTCAATATTTACATTCCTTATGCGAACAGCAGTAGATAATCTCCTAGAGACCATATCGTAGTATACCAAGATAACTACATCTAAGCAAAAATTAGGAACGAAGTGTCCATAAAAGACGGGAGATTCTAACGGAACCATGTTACTAATCACTAGTATCAAAATAGTAGTTGCTTCTTCATCTAGGCAACGAAATCGACCAACCTGAAATGATATTTCATCCACTGGAATGTGGTGAGGAAGGGGAGCCCGAGCCCTTTAGGAGCCCAACATCATCTACCACAATGTCGAGTACCTCAGCCTTGTGTGCATTCGACTCCCCATTCTGGATGCCTCTCAAAGTCTCCAGCACTTCTCGCATTGAAGGTCTCATATCTCTCTCCTGTTGCAGACATCGGAAAGCTAACTCAGCGACTAATGTAGTCATCCTCCTCACAGAGCTGTTTGTCGTGAATCCGAGACTTGGATCAACTAATTCATGTACTGAATGAGTTTGGATCTTGTTGACAGCCATATTAGCCAAATTACTATCGTGGCGGTGCCTGTTGGTATCCACAGCTTGCAATGATGAGATCAGCTCTATCAAGACCACACCAAAACTATAAACATCACTCTTTTCAGTGAGCTGGTAACATTGGTAGTACTCAGGATCAACGTAGCCTGGTGTACCCTGTGGAGCAGTAGAGACATGTGTGACATTATCTGGGAACAATCTTGATAGCCCAAAATCAGCAACTTTCACATGGAAATCATTGTCTAATAGAATGTTGTTGGTTTTGACATCACGGTGTATTATAACTGAGGAGTGCAGATAAGCCAGAGCATCAGCAGTCTCAATGGCTATGTTCATTCGGACAGGCCAAGAGAGTAAACCAGATTTGGCCCGATTTCCATGCAGATGATCTGCCACTGTCCCGTTTGAGATGTACTCATAAACAAGCAGTAAATCTCGGCTTCGCTTTGATGTGCACCCGTATAATGTCACGAGGTGCTGGTGGCGGAGCTTAGTTAAAATCTCAACTTCATTCATGAACTGCTCTACACGCTTGAAATTGTTCTCATACAAGCGCTTGACTGCTACCACACGACCATCACGGAGCTTGCCTGATTAACAATTAATTAGAACTATTAGGAGACTCTCTTACCAAATAATAGTATGTAATCAGGAGTTTGCAGTACATACCATAGTACACGACGCCAAAACCACCATCCCCAAGTTCTTTAGATTGATCAAAATTATCCGTGGCTTCTTCAAGTTCAGCGAAACTGAAGACATGAGCCCCAAAGTAGGAGCTTCCCCTCCCATAATCAGCTTCAGATGTGGAAGAGGGATAAGAGGGAATGCTTCTAGTGAAAGTGGTTGAAGAATTAGGAGAAGAAGTAGTCAGGCCATTGCTTGAACTTAAAACTGGAAGGTCTTTCTTTTCGGCTTGGACAGGTGAAGCCTGTGCTGCAATCCGCTTTCTCTTTTGTCTGCAGAAAAAGATTAGCCATCCAATGCCAATGCCAGCAAGTACAGCACCACCTACACCAAGGCCTGCAATCAAAAGAAGAGAGTTTAAAATCTTCTCAAGGCATTTGACCATGTCAGTTGTACTATAAAATTAGAACTAAAGACAATACCTATTGCAAGTGGCGTCTGATTTTTCTTTCGACTTTCTGCAAAACAATCATAATGTTGTCAATTAAGTGATAAACACGATATATATAGATGCTGAGGTACATAAAGTAAACCTGGTTCGAATTAGGAGAAAATAACAAAACTGTGGTGAGATAAAATGGAGGTATGGTCAGATCTGAAAAGCACAAACTATAAGGAATAAGCACACTGTCAGAAGAATACCCAGGGATACCCGAAACAAACATACCATGGAAATATAAAAACCAATCAAGAGAATTTAGTAAATCACTTTGTCTTACACTTTGTTCCAAGTTCACTTTTGTGTTAGGAAGTAATTGAGTAGTGTTGTGTTTTATTAGGTGTATCCATTGAATCAAACGCCTCTAGTATCTACGGATCATGCCAAATATGCAATAGGATGAGAATAGAAAGACTCCTGTAAACATGGATAGACTACCTATAAACCTGGCAATGCAATTATGTAGAACTAGAACAAACAATGTTATAAACCATGAACTTAGGATCCATCAACTTGAACGATCGACAATCAGACTGAAATTTTGCTTTCCAGAGAAAAGGAAAAAACATAGGAAGAAGCTCAACAGTCTAGTTGACAAATAATGTGAGAAAGTAAATATTGAAATGCCTAACCATCTCATCCAAGAACTTAAGTTGTTAGAGAGAGCATCAGTAATTACATTCTCACACTGACAACTGTAAACCTAAATCCATTCAGTCCAACATTCCAAACTATAACGTTTAATACTCCTAATTAGTGTATTAATATCAGAGAATAAAGTTCCAGGTACCTTCGAAGGAACTTTCATGTTCTAAAGGCAAAGTACAAGGGATTTCTTCACAAATACAAATTGGCTGGGCCAGCCCCACATTAAATCCTCAATTTCCACCTAGCCTCGTGCACCCATAACACAGTTCATCTTACGGGACATCATATTTCACGCTAAATGCCTGCATTAATGCTTCCCCTAGAGTAGTCTGATTGCTATATAGCCTTTTACCTACGGCTCTAAACAACGGAATAGTAATAATAGTTTCACACGTTATGACTTTCAGAGAAGGGTCACTTGGAATTGGACCCAGTAAATGGAAGGCGCCGGTGAAATTCAAACCAGTTACGCTACAGCTGAACAAATTCTGGGGCTTAAAAACAAATACTGCAACATTGCAGCCGTAGCTCAAGGAGAGTTCTTCGTCTTCGTTATGGTCGGACGTAGAGTTGAGAGTAGTATTGGTGAATTGAGAAGGGCAATATTGTTCCACAGGTCTAGCCTAGCAATAGTCATGGTTCTTGAAGACTGGTTAGTAGAAAGAACTCTGTTGGTAAGTGAATGGTGAGTGAACTCGGTGTGATTGTCCATACATCGGAGTTTGAAATCAGGGAGACCACAGTAGTCAGGACGGTCACCGCCAGTGAACGGGTAGGTGATATTACGAATGGAGCTGCAGGAGAAAGTACGGCCACGGTTGGGGAAGAAGACGCTATCATCAGAGAAAGAGAAGCCGCACACAGTTGGGGAAGAAGATGTTATGATCAGAGAAAGAGAAGGATGTCGTGAAAATAAAGGTGGTGGCGAAGAAGAGAATAGTTGTGGCGCCATTGGTGTATGAGAGAGGCATTTGGAATATGCAAAGAGACAGAGTGAGTAAGTAGTGAAAGGGTGTCTGGAAATGTTGAGAATATATCTTGACATAGAGACAAAGGGTTGATTGAACGTTGAATAGTACTCCATTGTAAAACGCTAGCTTTTTCTGTCTTATAACTATGTGACTGTCGCCGCCATGCACAGAACTATATATAAGATTAAAAAATAAAAATGTTTGGAAACATCTAACGTACCCTAGAATCCAAGATCTAAATAGTAGACTTCCATATAATCCAAGATCAAATTAGTATGTAATAAGTATTTCTTCCGTTCAAATTAGGTGAAATATTTTATTTTTTAGTTTGTTCCAAAATAAATAACATATTTTTAAATTTAAAAATAATTTAAATTTAAACTCTTCATTTTATATATTTTATTCTTAATGAAAAACTTTTCTAACCACACAAATGTCATAGTCCTACAAAACTTTGACCCCTTAAGCTTTTAAGACCACAAGTTTCAAAAGTCTTATTTTCTTTTCTTAAACTTCGTACCAAGTCAAACTACATCATCTAAATTGAAACGGAGGGAGTAATAATTAAGTATTGTATAAAACTAAAATGAAAATTCCAACAGAAATAAAAAAATTACATTAAATAATTTTTCTCTCTCTATGTAAACATGAGTGAATAGAGTTATTTCATATAGATATTGATAGAGAAGTATGTGGAATACCGCCATATATTTAGAAGGATGAAAGATAGTATTATCACACTTGAAAAGTCGTTTGGTTCACCTTCGCTTGGCTACTTATGTGCCCTATTACTGGTGTCTTATTAAATTATAAGTTAGGTAATAATAGTCTAATGGTGAAATGTGAATGTCATCTCTTTTTTAACAAAATTGTCTTTCTGTCATTTCATTCTAACGCCAACCAAGTTTGAAATAAAAATAAAACTAACAAAAAGAATAGTAAGCACTACAAATAAAGAACGGGATTTCTGTATCCATTGGTTCAACGAAGCATGCACTTATTTTCTTTTAGGGTAGTTAGAGAATTGTTGTACTCTTTGTCATAAATTAAAATTCTTTTCTCATTTTTTTAATATTTTGGACGTAGACTAGACATGAACAGGATGCATATATCAAGCTCGAGATTATAACATCATATTCAATTTCATGGACTGACACTGGTCAATGCTCAACATCTCTATAAATAAAATACTTGGAACTTCAATACTCATCATTTTCTCGAAAACAAACATGGCAACAGGAAAGCTTTAAAATATAAAATTAAGTTACCTAAATTAAATTATCACCTATATAAATTTAATTAGAACGGTTCCGAACAATATGTAAAAAAACATACATGACCATACAGGCATACAGCAGATATTTGGTCTGCAGTTTTCCATTTTCTTTGGTTCTTCCATAATTAACAAAGCTAATTGGAAATGAACGGACGAACTTACCTATGTATCAACGCCATATGACCTTAACGCTCAAATTAATCCATAATTTCTAGTAAAAACATGTGGAAATAGTTATGAAAAGATTACCGCCATCTTGATTTTGTGCGTCGGTGCAGTTGAAAGCATGAGTACCAGTGGCACAATGGCAAGCAAAGGCTGCGGAATCTGGGTTGGATCCACATCTTCCACCTGACTTGCCGCACTGTCCGCATAGCGTTTCAATATTTGCCGTCCAATTAACTGAAAACCCGCCAGAAATGGCTGTTCTCAGAACTTCAACAGTTGCTGTAGCGCTGGCTAATGCCACAGCACTCGTTTGATTGATCCTAGTTATTATTTCTTTCTCGCATCTCACTATAGAGAAGTCGAAGGATACGCCAATCATAGTGTATATACCAAATATATTGCTAGGGCAACTGAACATATTCGGACGCCGAGTAGGTATTTGCGGACCAGAGAAGGTGCAGCCATAATACAGAGTAATATTCTGGTCACTGGAAACATAGCTGAAAATGTTTAAATCCAAGGAGGCGTTCTCAGGGTTGTTCAAACAAATATTGCTCAGTAAATCATCTCTAGCCAAGGTTAGTATTCGAGTAGGAGTATCGATCCCTACCACTTTATATGACGTTGATTCAATAGCAATATTCGGGATGTTACTCTCGCAGTTGATCTCGAAACTTGGATGACCACAGTAATCTGGTCTACCACCTCCCCAGAAAGGGTAATTTATTTCGATGTCACCACAGAGAATTGGCTCACTACACTTGCTGAATCGCTCGTCATCTTGACAGAAAGAAACCGGTGTTTTGATCAAGATAAAGATTAAGGAACTGAAGAGCAAAAAGTATGGATGGAGTTGTTGATGCATTTTCTGTCTGATTAAAGGAATTAGCATCTAGAAAGAGAGTTACCAACTAGAAATAGTGTACAAAAGCTTTACCCAGTTCTACGATCTTCTCGTCTAGAAAAGAGATAGAGGAGGTGGGGAGGAGATGTGTAACTAAGGGACAGAGGAGGAAGATACAACGGTTTGGAAGAACACCAAATTCAATTAGGAAGATGAGATGTAAAATACAAAGAAAAAGATGGGGTGCTTTATTTTGTTATTCTTTGGTCAACATATAGCAACCTGTAGAAAAATATTTGACAAACGGATGATACCAATTTCGCGTATATTGTCAAACGAGATATAGAAGCTTCTATTGGAATTTAGGGGTAGCAGACTTGGTCTACTTGCCAAAAAAAATTGTGTACTAATAAAATTATTTTTTCAAGATGGAAAAATAATTTTATATCCAACTACTACCGTGACTCATGAAATTTATTTATGATAAGAGTCAAATATTTATACTTGGTCAGTATGAATTGATTAGTACTTTGAAAGAAACCATCTAGCTAAGACTAGAGTGGTCATAAATTTAAAGACACTACACGCCAAAGACGCATAAACTACCAGAAAGTTGGCTAAATAGTGTGTTCTGTGGAAGCTTCTAACGCGTCAAGACTGGAACAACCTGAGGGACTATAAGATCATTCCACGATTGCTCCTCACAGTTCTGCTATTTTCTTCGTATCAGTCATATTCAACTATAAATACCAGAAATTCAACGGGAACATTTCCTCCAAACTTCTGCAGAGGCAGGTCTATCAGTAGAAACCAGTGCCGTCACGTTATCAGTACAATATCCAGAGTTCAGGTACATGCCATAAATCTTTACCTGTACTACGATTTCTGAGAAAACTTTAAGTGAATAACTCAAAATTATGTGCCGACGGATTTTGGTGAAAAGTATTCAAAGGGATAAGGAGAGGATGTTCTTAAACTAAGGGTTAAGTTGAAGCACAATTTTAGAGGAAATATTTCGGTTGGGAGATTGGATACTGTGCATATCCTGTTCCATATATCAAACAAAATTCAACCGAATGTTTTTCAGAGGTTTTGGACAGTTTGTAAGATGTGGATGCGTAATTTCAGATACACAGGAGAGTACTACATTTCGAAGAATGACTCTTCTCCACTCTCGGTCCGATAAGACTATTTGCCAGGCTTACAATACATAGCTATTGGCTTTATATTTCAGCAATAAAATCTATCATCACACCTATTGGACGTTCCATTTTATTGGATGATCCTAACGTTTACATAGCTTGGATTCTTCTAGAAGTTAACCTTGTATCAAAATTGCCTAACCATGTTTGGGTGAAAGTAACATCAAAACTAGATCCTATTATGAAAAGAGGGTATTTGACGGATAGTTGTCCACCAATTGGTTTGGGCATAAAAGATGAGAATTGGTGGCAGAATATTGATCATAGTAAAAATGGACAAATGCCTCCAAAACCAGAAGATAGTAGGACCAATAAATCTGTTGTAGTATGGAAACAAATATACCGTGGGAGATAAGTTGGTTTACTGTAATATGACCATTAATTTGGCTTATTTTCAAGTGGGGTTTAAATTTTTATTTGCCATGACATATAATATTCACTATAACATAATTCGTGGATCAATTTTTCATGACATTTGTCATGACATAATATCCACTATTAAGCCAAAGATTTCTTGCTATAAATAGAGGAGCTTCTCCTCATTCGAGAACACACCAATTCAAGAGCTTTTCACTCTTGTTGTTCTTTCTCCCCCTTTATTTCATTATAGAGTATTTTGTAAGAAAGTGAATGTTAGGAAACACTTGTGTGAACCATTTTTTGGAGTGATCTTGTGAGGTTATTCTCTTGGGGTATTTGGGACTAATTAGAGTATTTACTCTCATTTTGTATTCTCTTTTGTACTCTTGTTGGTATTGTAAAATCACTTCTCTCCGCTTGTGGACGTAAGTCATCTTGAACGAACCACGTTAAATTTGTGTCTTTTTTATCTTCTTTAATTGCCGTTATTATCAACTTGCATTGTCTTTGTTATTGTCATTATAACGTTGTTTAGCTAAATTTCGCACTATCCGGTTTTTCGATCCTAACAAATTGGTATCAGAACGAGATCTAACCAGGTTAGTTTAAATAGCCAAAACGACTCTAACAAAGTCTTATGTTGAGAAATTTGATAGAAGTGCAAACTACAAGGAAAGGAGAAGAAGCAGGACAAAATGACGGACGAGTAGTTTGCCGTCATAGACAAAAAGGAAAAAGCAAGTATTATTTTAAATCTCTCAAATGAGGTTTTGCGTGAAGTTGCAGCAGAAAGCTCACCCAAAGGCATATGGGAAAAGCTGAAAACCCTATATATGAAAAGAACAGTAGAAAACAGGCTTTACCTAAAGCAAAAACTCTATATTTTTCGTATGGCTGAAGATACCTCTATACTTGCACATCTTGATACTTTTGATTCTCTTCTTATGGATTTAAGTAACATAGATGATGAAATCAAAGATGAGGATCAAGCTCTGTTATTGCTTGTTTCCATACCCCCAGTCGTTTAAGCATATAATAGATACTATATTTTATGGAAAGGATAATATCTCTTATAAAGATATCAAATCTATTTTGAAATCAAAAGAACAAATAGATAGAGATATTATTGGGAAAACTAATGGGAACCAAGGGGGAGACTTATTCATAAGAGGTAGATCCAATAAGAAAGATTCAAGTTGTGAGAGACCTAAATCAAGGTCAAAATCCAGATACAAAATGTCATGTGCAAAATTGTCATAAGAAATGTCATATTATTTCTCAATGCTTTAAATTGAAAAACAAACAAAAGCATACAGAAGAAAAATGAGCACAAAAATACTGACACTGCCGAAGCAAGTGTAGTTGCTAATGAGACTAAGAGAACTATTTTTTTAACAACTAATAATAGTTTCAAATCTAATAATGAGTGAATTTTAGATTCGGATTGTTCTTACCATATCTGTCCCAATCGGAATTTATTTACCATATATGAATCTATTGGAGCTGGAGTTGTCTTGATGGGCAACAATGATGCTTGCAAAGTTATTGGAAAAGGTACAGTCCGAATCAAAATGCACGATGGTGCTCTCACCGATGTTAGACATGTTCCTGACTTGAAGAAAAATCTCATCTCTTTGGGCACTCTAGAATCTCTTGGGTGCAAGTACACAGGTGAAAGAGAGTTCTGGAAGTTTCTCATGATACTCTTGTGATCATGAAAGCACGCAGATCTGGTACATTGTATACTCTATTGGGATCTAGTGTTACAGGTGCTGCTGCAGTTTCAATATCAGATAAATCAGATTCTGACATCACCAAATTCTGGCATATACGATTGCGGCATATGAGTGAAAAAAGGTCTTTCCATTCTCAGCAAAAGAGGTCTATTATGTGGCCAAAGTACCAGAAATATGGAGTCCTGTGAACATTGTGTATTCGGGAAGCAGAAAAGAATCGGCTTCAAATCTCCAGCGATTCATAGAACAAAAGGTACTTTGGATTACATTCATTCAGATCTTTGAGGTCCTTCATGTACCCCATCGAAAGGTGGTGCCAGGTATATGTTAACTTTCATTGATGATTATTCAAGGAAAGTTTAGGTTTATTTTCTGAAAAATAAAAGTGATATTTTCTTAAATTTCAAACAATGGAAAGTTTTGATTGAGAAGCAAACAGGAAAACAGATTAAGCGGCTTAGAACAGATAATGGCTTGAAAATTTGTAATGATAAATTCAACGAATTTTGCAAGAATGAAGGAATTGATCGGCATCATACTGTAAGAATGACACCTCAGCAAAATGGTGTGGCATAAAGGATGAATAGAACTTTTTCGAAAATGGCTCATTGCATGATTTCAAATGTTAGGTTGACAAACACCTTTTGGGCAGAAGCTATCTCTACAACCTGTTATATTGTCAATTGAGCTCCTTCTGCACCTTTGAACTTTAAGACTCCAGAGGAAATGTGGTCAGGTACTCCTGCTAATTATTCTGATTTAAAGATATTTGGTTGTCATGCATACATGCATGTAAATGATGGAAAATTAGAGCCAGGGGCTAAAAAGTTCATTTTCCTTGGGTATGCATATGGGGTAAAAGGATACCGACTATGGTATCCTGATCCCATGACACCAAAATTTATAATTAGCAGAGATATAACCTTTGATGAATCCTTTTACATTCTAGAAAATAGTCTTTTAGTTCTTGTAATACAAATAAAGGAAAGAGTACATAGAAGCAGGTGGAGGTTGAGATTGGCATTCCTTCTAAGCCAAGCTCATCAACTTTGGAGCAAAATATAGTTGAAACTCTTGAAGTTGAGCCAGAAGCTGAAATTCCTAAAGATGAGACTCCTGAAGTTGAACCAGAAGAAGTGGAGTATTATATTGCCAAATATAGACCACGAAGAGAAGGTAAACAACCATTAAGGTTTGGAGATTATGTTATATTTGCTTTTTCAGTTGCACAGGAAACTGAAGAAATTGAAGAACCATCAAAATATTTAGAAGCAGTTTCTAGTGCTGACTCAGCCAAGTGCTGATTGCAATGAATGAAGAAATTGAGTCTCTCCACAAGAATGGTACTTGGTCTCTTGTGAAGCCGCCATCAGGAAAAGGAATTGTTGGTTGCAAATGGGTCTTCAAGAAAAAGGATGGCATTCCAGGGGTTAAAGATGCGAGGTATAACTCATGATTAGTTGCAAAGGGCTATAGTCAGGTACAAGGAGTTGATTTTAATGATATTTTCTCACCTGTTACTAAACATAGCTCTATTTGTGTCTTGCTTGCCTTCGTTGCCATGTATAATTTGGAATTAGAACAACTTGATTTTAAGACAACTTTCTTACATGGCGAACTTGAGGAACATATATACATGCATCAACCTGAAGGATTTGAAATTGAAGGGAAAAAAGATCATGTTTGCTTGTAAATTGAAAAAATCCTTGTACGGATTAAAGCAGTCTCCAAGACAATGGTATAAAAGGTTTGTTTCCTTTATGTTGGGTCATGGGAGCATGTATGATAGTTGTGTTTACTTCCGGAAGTTAAATGATGGTTTATTTGTGTACCTATTATTATATGTTGATGACATGTTCATTGCTACTAAGGATTTAACAGAAATTCACAATTTGAAAAGTCAGCTGAAAAGTGAATTTGAGATGGAAGATTTGGGAGCAGCTAAGAAAATCCTTGGCATGGAGATTAAAAGAGATTGAAAAGCCAACAGGCTATTTCTGACGCATAAGAAGTACTTGGAGAAAGTCTTGGAGAGTTTTGGCATGAAAGATGTTAAACCAGTTAGTACCCCTCTTGCTGCTCATTTTTAGCTATCAGCTGCTCAGTCCCTGCAGTCAGAGGAAGAAGAGAGGTACATGGCATAGGTTCCTTATTTCAGTACAGTCGGCAGTATTATGTATGCAATGGTTTGTACACGTCCAGACATTTCACAAGCAGTGAGCGTGATAAACCAGTATATGGCTTGCCCTGGTAAAGCACATTGGCATGCTGTGAAATGGATTCTCAAATACTTGCGAGGTACTTCAAACACATGTTTGGAGTTTGGGATAAATACTAACACTTTGGTTGGTTTTGTAGACTTAGATTATGCATGTGATCTTGACAAAAGAAGATCATTGACATGCTATGTATTTTGCATTGGTGGTTGCGCTATTAGTTGGAAAGCTACATTACAACATGTAGTAGCTTTATCTACTACCGAAGCAGAATATATGGCAGTGACCGAGGCGATCAAAGAAGCTTTATGGTTGAAGGGTCTATTTGCGAAACTCAGTTCACACCAAGGTGGTATTACCATTTTCTATATCATTCACTTGACTATAGATCAAATGTATCATGAGAGGATGAAGTACATTGATATAAAGTATCATTTCATCCGAGAAACTATTGTTGAAGGAAAAGTCTATATTCAGAAGATCAGCACTAGAGACAATCGTGCTGACATGTTTACAAAATCTCTTCCAGTGTCCAAGTTCAAGCTTTGCCTGAACTTGATTGGCATTTATGAAGAATGATTTTGCCCATTGGGATTTTTGCGGAGAAGGTGGAGCAAATTTACTATATATAAGCCAAAATTAGGCCAAGGTAGAGATTTGTATTATGACCATTAATTTGGCTTATTTTCAAGTGAAGGCCAAATTTTCATGACATAATATCCACTATAACACAATTTGTGAACCTAGTTTTCATGACATTTGCCATGATATAATATCCACTATAACACAATTTGTGGATCAAGTTTTCATGACATTTGCCATGACATAATATCCACTATTAGGCCAAGAATTTCTTGCTATAAATAGAGGAGTTTCTCCTCATTTGAGAACACACCAATTCAAGAGCTTTTCACTATTGTTTTTCTTTCTCCTCCTTTATTTTATTATAGAGTATTTTGTAAGAGAGTGAGTGTTGGTAAACACTTGTGTGAACCCTTTCTTTGGAGTGATCTTGTGAGGTTATTCTCTTGGGGTATTTGGGACTAATTAGAGTATTTATTCTAATTTTGTACTCTCTTTTGTACTCTTGTTGGTATAGTAAAATTGCTCCTCTCCGCTTGTAGACGTAGGTCACCTTGAACGAATCACGTTAAATTTGTGTTTTCCGTATCTTCTTTAATTACCGCTATTCTTGCACTGTCTTTGTTATTGTCATTATAACGTTGTTTGGTTAAATTTCGCACTACCCGATTTCCCGATCCTAACATATACTATTCAAGAGCATTTGATGTCTTTGATATCTACATACCGATAAGAAATGAAACTCGCGCCTAACTCAATCTCAAAAACTAGCTTGTGGGGTAAGGATTGCCCAAGATCATAACTAAGTCCCCATCCACAACCGATGTGGGAAACTCAATACACACTCCTGCTAGAAATTAAAACAGAAATTGGACAACACTCAGCCNNNNCCCAAAACCTAATGTACTAATTTAACCATGACGTTACTGCCGAATATCATGTGTCTTGCAAAATTTGTTAATGAAGACGCATGCTAAGTGGTTTTTTTGTTTTACTGAGTCTTGATACTGAGATATCAACTACATCATCCATGTGAAATTGGCTATGCAACTATCACGATATTTTAAACTTTGATAGGAAAAGAAGAAAAGCTCATTATGTCAACAATAGACTTTATGATCAAAGGTTGGTTGGTGAAGGCATACCTAATACCAACTATAATGACAGCTATCGAATGGTAAGACTAGACTTACACAGTAGTGTAAGTGATACACGATTTCAGGGATGAACAAATTAACTAAAAGATTTTGGACAACTAAAATTTATAACAGTGCAATATCTAAGTTGGGATGTTTAATTTTTACACATTGCCGGCGTAAAGTACTTTCATACTATCAAATTATTTATACCCAATCAGTATAGCTTTATATATTAAGCATTGATTGATAATTCAAAAGGCAAATAAGTTATCTATGAGTGATTAAACTAGACTGAAAGCGTGAAATTTAAACTATCGTTGTATATATAATATAAATATATGTATCTACATCGGAGTAATAGTTGTCCCTGTTGTCGTGTTCCTCGAGTTAGCTCAAACTAATTAATTTTTTAGCTAATTAGTCAATTAGGCACAAGAAAAATAAAACCTCATTGACTAAACGAACCAAATCCATCGACTAAGTCAAGATTAAGAAGGCAAATCGAGGCGGAAATAGTTCTTAGGAAAACAAGAATATGTACCTGCAGGGGATGGTCTAGATATTGGTAAAGGTGGTGAGACTCCAAAAGCAGCAACTGAACAAGAAGCAGATTCGTACGGAGGATTAGGACAAAAGCAAATTGTTTGCTTCATAAAAGCATTGTACCCACATCTCCCCTTTGTGTCAGTACACTCACTGCAGGTTTTACTATCCATTTTCCATCTTATATCAAACCCTTGTTGTAGAACTTGTGCCAAACTTGTTGAATTCATGGACCCTACAGTAGCATCAGTCATCTGGAGTACTGGAACTGTGACACTAGCATTACATTTCCCGGGGCCTTGAGCCCCCGGCCATACAAAAACATTGTCATATTTGCTATTTCGACAAGCGATATGATCCATTTCCGCAAAGTTGGACGAAACAGGGCAGTTGTATAGGAAGGTCAAGTTTGTGTAGCTAGTGGCATAATCAAAGAGGGAGTAATCCAGAGTGGTGTTAACTAAATAAACAGGACAGGTTGATTCCATGATATCCTCCCTCACAATCCTTATTGTTTGGGTTGTGGGACGTACGTCCAAAATTCGATACTTGATTTTGTTGATGATCATAGTGGTGCTGCTATCCTGATTGCAGTTGAGTTCTAAACCAGGATAGCCACAGTAGGGAGGATCATTCATATTGCGAAAAGGATAACTTAATCCCATAATATCGCCACAGCTATATGTATTCCCACAAGTCTGGTAAAATTCATCGGGATTACTTGAACCTCGAGGTACATGAATTAGTATAAGGGAGGAAAACAGAGTGAGCAAAGATAACAAGTAAAAGCTTTGGGAATTCATGTGGAGGAAATGAGAAAATGGATGTGGCTAAAGGAAGAAGGGTAATGGTTTATTAAAGAAGTCTATGGTAAGTAGAAAAGTAGGTGAAATTAAAGCATGAAGAAGATGATATACAGAGGAAATTGGGTGATAAAAATGACTTCACTTGATGACTACTATACTTTTTTAATAATGGAAGTCTTGGCAAAAAAAATTACGGGAGTCACGGTATCACATTGACTGAAACTAAAGAGTGAAACTAAACTGTGGAGGAAACTAAGTTACTCTCTTAAAGAAAAGAAAAACCTACCTATTGTTATTGATTTTTGAATTGGATAAAGGAAAAAAAGATATCATCTTACCTGTTTCCTTTGTCTCATTTTTTTTTTTAAGTATATATTTATTTTATTTGGGATTAGGAAATCTACTCCAGAGAGAAGTCAATTGGAAATTACTTGGACATAAGAAAACGATGTGAGGTTTGTTAAGCGTTTCTATCTAATTAGGACAAGTATGTCATGGACTATTCAACAACCACATTTACTATAATTTGCTTATGAACAACCCGGTTGGTGGCACTTATAAGACTTAGACCGCTTCCTAGTTCATGGATGACTGGTGTACAAGATTATTTAGTGAGGTCTATTTGTCCGAAATATATTACGGTCAAACCTCTCTATAACAGCCTCGTTTGTTCCAAATTGAAAATTGGTTTCGGAAAAAACTTAATTTATATAGTGAAGTGTTGTTATATAAGGATGATATTATAGAGATGTATGATTGTAGTACCTTTGTCAATTGAAAAAAGAAAAAAAACCAGACCGAAAAGTGGGCTTATTCATTGAGATACTTCCTTAGAATGAAGATGCACCTGCCAATGTAGCCTGAAATGGAGGGGGAAGAACGGAGAGAAAAGAACAGAGATAGATAGGAGAAGTGACAGACCAAATCAACTCAAAAATATAATGCATCAAATGAAGTGCTTTTGACAAGTGCAAGGAGGACCCTGGTTATAGATATGGAACCTTGCACAATATAGATTATCTCTAGGAAATAAATATAAAATCAAGGATAAGGTAAAGATTTATACAAGGGAGAAATATGTAATCTAATTTGGATAGTGATTAATATATGACTTACTAAATAAGATAAATACTACTATAATTTTTCAAATTATTTAGAATGTATATCATCTAGCAGACAAGTCTTTCCCACAGTCGACATAACAAATATCAGACATTAGGACGAAAAGTATTTACTCATGACGAATATGGACCAATCTAATACACTTGAAGACACAAAATTACCCAACAAATGATAGGTTCCTTTTCTCCCAAATTACTGAAAGTAGGGAGACCCTAGTTGATTCTTTTAAAGAAGAATCAAAAGGGAAGTACTATAAAGAAATTTCAAAGTGCCTCATAGAAGTTCAATTTTGCCATGAACATGCCCGTAAAGTGTCCCAAACTCCATTTAGTGTTAAAGTTAAACTCACATGCTTAAAATACAATTCATTATATTACCGACACTGTGTATTGTTGTAATATATACTTGCATCGTCGAACTATTAATATTCAACTAGTATTCGACGATGTGCCCCGAGTATTGGATGCCCTGCCTCCACGCTCCAACTAGTAAAAGGAAAAGAACGGGGGGGGGGGGGAAGGAGCTGGGCTTCTAATCTTCACTGTCAATAGGTGCAACGTTCAACAATCCAGGCCCATAGAAGCCCAAGTGATAACATTAGTATGAAATTGGAAGAAATTGACTGGGGGTTACATTAACAAGTCCATTTTGGCACTGTGAATGAATAGTAGCGAAATTTGGCATGACATGACAATTAGGTCCAACAATTGGCATAAAAAAGCCAATGTTTTAAGATTTGGCATATGGTAGCATACAATTATTCTCTCTCTTCTAATGGTTCAACCACCATCCTAAAAATAAGCCTCATCAAAATTATTTTCCTTAAGAATAGCAAAAAATATTTAAAACCCTCTCTCTCTACTCTCGTAGCAACCATCATCCTAGAAATTAGGTTTCATTTCCTTCATTACTATCCGTAAAAACTCCCAAATATTTTTTGATTATTTTTTTAGTTTTTTTATCTGTATATCCAAATATATATAACACAATAATAATTATATTATTTGTATATCACAATGTATAACATAATAATAATGTGTATATCAAAAAAGTATATTAAAATTTTATTTTTCTTCTTTGTATAACACAATTCAGATTGAAAATTCAAGTTCAAGACGACTCCACATGTGTATCCCCTATTGTATCCCGTGTATATCTCTATATACATCAGTGATATCTCATGTATATCTTGTGTATCTGTGTATATCCATAAATATTTGTGTTATATATACGATATACATGTTATATACACGGGCATCCATAACAAATAATGCTGTATACACGATATACAAAGTGATATACACATATGTTCTTAAAAACCTATGTGTGATATATACTGATGTACACGATATACAACGTGATATACACATGTCGCAATTAGATTTTTAGGTCTGATATTTTTACCTGAAACCAGTTTAAATCACTTCTAATCTTGCTAAAATTTTGTATATAGCCTCGTTTAGGTATTTTTAACCAATTTCAATCACATCCACTCGTTCAATCCAACCAAAAAAAAAAAAAGTTTGAAATGTATTTTTTCTCTCTTAGTTTTTGCTTCTGATTTTCTCTGATGTGAGATCAATCTTACCTTTTTATCCCACTAATTTTTTTGCATAATTTGCAAGAATCTTTGCTAAACTATGAGAGCGAAAGAGAAGAGATAGAAGAAGAAATACAAAGAGAGAAAGGGGAGGGAGGGGGGAGCAGTGAACAAGAAGAGAAGTGAGCGGCGAGGGGGTGGGGGGAGCAGACGGTTTGGGGCCAATTGTTTGAGAGAGAATATATAAGAGAATAGTTTTTATAGGATTTGACTATATAATGCTAATTGTTTGGGGCTATCTTGCCAAACCTAATATAAAGCTAAAAAATTGTCAATTCCTGTGTTTTACCTGATGCCATTTTTTCAGGACAATTCAACTTTAAGAAGACAAAATATTGTGTAAATTGGGTTGGAAATCCTTATCTACGCACCGCTCTTTGTTCAGTGACATGCCAAATACTGACGTTACATTACCAGCCGCCACCTCTCTCCCAACGCTCAACTCCCCAACCATAATAAATCTTTAAATGGAACTATAAGACTTCAGCAAGAAACTTGGGAATTAATTAGTAGGAGAAAATCCGCACTCTTCTCAAATCGAGAAACTGGAAACGTAGAGAAGCACAAATTAGTAGAATGAAATCCTTTTGGCTTCTACTATGAAAATCTAAGAATATAATACTCTCTCGACTTCATTTAATATTACACTATTGCTCTTTAAGAGAATTAATTAGATAATTCTTTTGTTTAACTACAATTATATATATATATATATATAATTAAGTGATTTGACTCTCACATTTGAAATATATTATTTTTGCTTTTTATTAGGCAAGACAGCCCATGTACAAAACACCATGTATTCACACAATTAAAGTTGAAAAATAAGACTAGAAGTTGCAGGGTTAAAATTTTATACTATACAAATAAACTTTTGGTGCTGTGCACTGGCTCAAATATCTTTGAGGTATTTTTCCTCTACTTCCTTTTCTAGCTAGTTACTAATCACGCTAAAAGAATTTCAGACAAATGCCAAATTCAAGTGGAATTTGGTCCCAAGCATTGGATACGAAACTATCTTCATGTCTGCAATAAAACTCTCAGTTGCACTTAATCATTGTATAGAACTTAAGAATTTAACTTTTGACAATGCAAAATTTTTACCATCTCAGCAGTATAACCTATATAAGTGTAACTAGTTTCAGTTATTACAGAAAGTTAGATAGAATTATCTTTAAGATGATTAAAATTCAAAATTAATGGTAGGGAAATGCAGAGCTTAAGAAGGCATAGGCAAACTTACCCGACGGTGTAAATGAAAGCGGACTACTTTTTCCAGTTCCAGGGGAACCTGCACCAGCTGCAGGAATTCCACTGGTGCAAGCGTTTGACGAAGAAGAAGAAGAAGATTGATGATTAGGGCACAAACAAGTGAACTGTTTCGCATCAGCATCAAATCCACAACTTCCCCCAAACTTTTCACATTCCTTACAAGGACTGGTATCCACTTTCCATCTCAAATCAAACCCCTGTTTCAGCAACTGCTTCAAATCCCCCAAATTTCCAATTGTTCCTCCTGACGAATACTCCTTACGAGCTGGTATAACTATACTAGCATGACATGTCCCAACTCCGTCCAAATCATTCTTATAACTCATTCCGTTTATCGCACAATTAAACCCAGCCGAAGGTGCAATTCCAGTATTTCCGGCCCAAGGTGGACACACGTAATTAACCGTGACATTCACTAAGCTCAAAGCATACTCAAATATATTGGAATCCATAGTCGTGTTAAATTGACAAATCCCTTCTGCTAGATCTTTTCTAGTAACTGTTATAATTTGGGCGTCCATTTTAATATCGAGAACCAAGTAATTTACGTTTGAAATTTGTAGTATGGTGCTACCTTGATCGTCACATTGAAGCTCGAATCCAGGATAACCACATTCCTTTCGTCGGTCATTTCCCCAGAAAGGGTAAGTAATCCCTGTTAAGTTTCCACAGTTGAAAGACTTGCCACAGCTGCCAAACCACTGGTTTTCTAGAGAAGAAAGAGGAGGAAGATGAATTAAGAATAAAAGTAGAGTGTAAGCTAGAAATTGAAAGGAGAGAAGGCCTTCCATGTCGAACGCCCAAAGACAAATCGTTGCACCGAGTAGTTATTAGCTAGTAATGCAGTAGGCGTATAGAAAGAACAAATAAATGCTGGGCGCCGAATTTATAAGTAAGATATTGATGATGGACATAAACAAGAATTAGAGCACTCCCTTGACTTCTTAAAATAGTTTTAAATTAGTTATCTTTTATCTTAATTATCTAATATTGTATAATTTTTTTAATACTTTGAGTGTGTAGAAATTAAACTCTTAAAGAAAGGATTTAAATATTTTTATCTATTGTAACATATTAAATTCCCTATTTTGTAGGTTACATACTAATTTCACTCATTATGAATTGTACTTGTATTTACCTTCTAGGTGACTTGATAGTGCAAAAAAATTTACATTGTCAATTTATATATGTTAAATTATTTCAGAAAATATGATCGACTTATCCTAAATCTCATTGCAACAACTTCTAACTTAAAGA